ATTGCTTGCGTGGTCGTTAACTCGCTACTCCATCAAGGTGCAGATGACGTATTTTCTCCAACGCATTTCATTCTAGTGCTAAAACTATGTGAATTCGATTTATTGCCTGTTGCAGTTCTACTTTTTCTAGGGTGCAGCCTACGGCTGTAATGAATATAATATGAATTGAGCAGTGCGAGATTGCAAGGATGTACGATAACTTACGAGATCATTAAGGTTTGAGGGGAACCATAAAAACAGATAATAGCAGCATGAGCTTTCCACATTCTTGCACCTTCTTCAGCTTCTTGTCAAATATCTCTTACACTTCCTTTTTTGTGGGGTTCGTTATGAAAATTTTAACAATAAGTGAACTGGCAATCATATTGCTTGATGCCTTCTGTTTCAGCATTTGAAACTCGCTCTTTTCAAAATGGAAACCGTGCTGGTCGAAAGTTGTCTTCCTATCTAAGTTGCAAGTTTTTCAGAATTTGCAGCAGATAAGCCTATTTGCTACCTGCTTTCTGGAAGATTAACCACATAAATATGGTCTTTGCTATTGCAATTTTCTCATCAGCACATCTTCACTTTTAGAGAGTAGGGTTGGTTTAGCAACGATTGTTGAGATGGGAAAACCATACCCATATCTAGAATTGGTCGTTATAACCACTATAACAAGATTATATTGTTGAAGGAATCCCTAAAATGATGCTTAAGATGACCTTCTATATTTGCGAAACCCCTTTCAAAAGGAAATATAGTGCTCTTAAAGTATGTTATGTTTGCAGACATAGTTTAAAATAATGATATAGTAAGTTACAATGCCCTTTTTGGTACTTTCTCATCTCTTTTATAAATTTTCCTTCTTTATTCACTCTTTTAAGTTTTCTTGGTCTTATAAAAAGTGCAAAAAAGTTTCTGAATGAATGGTTTCGTCGAACTACATATGTATTGAGTATTTTGAATAGAAACGCTTATCTAACAAGTAAGTATCTTTTTGAAAGTGACAATTCAGATGTAGCTTGAAACGGTGGTTCCAGGTCTGTTTTCCGAATCTGCGTAGCCATTGGTATGGACATTTTCCTCTGTCAAAAATGACTATAGGATCTGTACAACCTTGTCCCAGAACAATAGCGCTAAGGCTGAATATGAAGCAAATCTCCATTATAAAATTTTTTGCTTATTTTATTTCGAATTGGGGTTGTAAAGCAGCTATCGATGTGCCATACAAGCTAATTTTGGCTTAGAAAAACTTACATAAATTTTTTTTGCCGAAACGCTTCGCAGGTATGGAAGCGAGGTTTAAATTCAGCGTTTCAAACTGCGCCTATCAATATGCATCTCTATCTTTTACTTCGAGCAAGTATTCTTCCCTTAAATATGAGAAATTCTTGTATTCTTCCCTTAAAAGCAAGAAAAACTTCATTGAGAGAAGAACCCTATAAACAGGCATAGATCACATTTAGCAATATTCATTTTTTTTAAGATAAGCATTCCCACCAAAATACTCTCCCTGGTCATTTTAGTTTTTAAAGAACTTCGGAGAAATGTGTATAATGGATACCTTTACTATAGGGTTCTCTTATTTTCATAACAATGTGACTTTGAGAATTTTTTGAAATCTTCCGTAACCGAGTGAACAATTGAATAAACTTAATTTCTACTTATTATTTCTGGAAAAAGTACGCTCGTAAGGTTTTCAAGCTCGCATGACCTCGTAGACTTTAAGCAATATAGAAACTGTAAATTGATAAAACCTTCAAAACGGATTCATTATATCTCTCCATGTGAGCATGAAACAAAA